GAGGAATAATTATTTTCCATATTAAAAAAAACCCAAAACCAACTGAGTTAAACACAAAGTAACTCCCAAAGTTCTACACAACAGCTATACGTGAAAGGACTTCTAGCTAGCACATCACTGTGTCTGGGACAGTGGACTTCCTACACATCACTCTATTTCTGAAAGAGTTGCTCAAGCACAAGATTGTCATGAAAACACAGGCGAAATAGTGTCATCTGCCTCACCCTGACTTGCAACAGGTAGTCAACGTGCACAGTACGGTATGAGAGCTGGTGTATAAAAGTTAAACCCTGGAACTGCAAGAAGCTGAAGCTCAACAGAAGCCAGAAAATGTGTTTTGTTGCACAGATCATTATAGATCATGTAAGACAGTAATTTTGGCCTTTTGTCTGATGTGTGATCATTGACACGGCTCTAAAACATAATTTCATAGTATTTTCTCCAGTTTCTTAGTTAAAAACAATTTCAAAGACTGACAATTCTGTACAGACACACTCAAACACTGTGTTTTCATTGCAACTACAATCAGAAATCTTGAAAATTTAAAGGCTATACATGTATGCCACTTTTCCAAAATTCCACTAGTGCTTAAAGAAAAAAAAAACAAACAAGGTTGTCTTACTGAAGTTCCCATTAGGTCCCTGTTCCAAATCAAAACCAGTCAAAATAAGTAATACAAACTGATTTTGCTTTACGGTTTAAAGGCAACTGTAGTTTGCAGAACACATAGTGTAGTAGTTAGGCCTAACAGGGTCTACATTACAGGAAGGGTAAAAAGTATTCGATAGCTCCTCTCACACAAATGTCACAAGAAGTAGACAACAGGAGACGTACAAAAATGAGTTGTAGATTAAAAAAATACCAAAGCATCAACTGTAGAAAACCAATGGTTGTCCATATTTCTCTGAGAATACAGAAGGCTGCAGTAATGAGAAGATGAACGAAACAGGCATTAGGTTTCCTACTAGAATACTCTATGTAAAACACACGTGGTGTCTAAATCAACCCGTGTTGATCACTGACAGGTGCTGCAGGGTAACGGCTTTCGCTGTTGTGTCCCGTTCAGAACCGAAAAGTGATGTTCACTCAAAACAAATATAGATTTAAGACAAGAATCCCTTCACTGTAAGCAAAGCTTTAGTGCATGTACTTGGGTCTCAGAAAAAGGATTTGTCATTGGGAATCATACAGAATGGTCACAGGCTGAAACAGGAGCATCTGAAGCTGTGACACCTGTTCCAATTCTGCCGGAATCATGAAATAAATAACACACAGAAAAAACTACAAAATGGCAACAAGGAAACAGCATGGGACACTTTGGTATTTTAGAACTAGTGCTATTCAACATTGATTAAGATCCAAAAGATTCCAACGTCCACCCTTGTTGTTTGATCAGATATTTCTACCATTTTCTGCAACGTTTGTTTTTAGGCTTTTATGAAAAAAATCCCACCATCTATTTTTCTTCTGGTACAAAATACGCCAATATGGAAAACAGTAAACAAAAGGAGACCTGAATCTTATTTTACTATATTCTGGGCTGGCTAGGGAGGGAGAGAAGACAAATTCTTACTATTCACTAATAAACTCTACGTATCATTTCCTCATTTTTCTACTTCAACATCTCAACCACTGTGTTGTGTACTGTACTATAAAAAAAGGAGCATAGAAGTTGAAGACAAATAGGTTATAGAGTAGAAACCCTCATTTCTAAAATGACTAAAATGACAATTCTACAAAAGGTACGAATATACAGAACCTTTTAAGATCTCGCATTTACCATGAGCCATGCGAATCATTTCAATCCATTTTCTGGAATATGTGTGATTATCCTCTAAATATGTGATGGCCTCCAAAAGCACCTTGCAAAGCTCTTATGCAGAGAAGCAAACAAATTCATATGAAAAAGGAAATAGTTGCATGACATTCTCTCTGCAGAGTGGAAGATGAAGCCAAAATTTTGACATCCATTGGTTAAAGCAATGAATCAAAACACACTGCCAAGTATGATCACTAAAACACTTGGTCCTTCCCACTAAAGACAGAAAAAATGTTTGAATTTTTACTTTCTATAAAAAAAATAGTAGCTGAAAGTTTAGTGATTGTTCAGCAAAGTTTAGTGAAGTTCGCAATGCTTCCTTAGTCTTATCCCATTTCCGCAAACATGTCATTTGAATCTGTCATCTCACATATTTTCCAAACATATCTGTATTAAGTGTATTCTAAGCTGCTAAGAACAGACTCCAAAAAGCCAGGTTTATATGAGACAAGTAAGTAGCTGAGCGTCAGCCGAACCATGGTAACTGTGCACATGCTTTAGCGCATCGTAGATGCAACCGAATTTAAACTTCAAAGGAAGAGTTTCAGTCCAAGTTTCCAGCATACGTAGCCTTTGATGGTGAATCACCTCAAGGGTTGTAGCCTTGACTGTACATCTGAATCAACACTATACAGCACAGCTGGGGAGGACCAATAGGGACCAAAGGTCTCCTGCCTCTTGCACAGGGATTGTTTTTGGCACTGCTCTCTGTCCTGATACCAACAACATTACAATATTATTGTTTGTTGTGTATGTTGATAGTTCAGAGCAACATTCTGGCTCCATATAAGACAAAATATTTTGCCAGAATGCCATTTTTGTAACCATCTTTGCAGAAGGGAAATGGTCCAGTGGAGGTAGTAATCAACACCACAGAAGAGGTGTGTTTAAACTGTTATTCTCAATGACCATCTTAGTGGGTCAGATTTCAGAAATTAGATTGTTCATTCAATATATCCCAGGACGGTTTTGTTTTAAAATCTTAGTATCATCTTGACAGTAATTATTAAACAACTGGCACTTCAAATACTGCAGATGGGATACTTTCTATTGCACGCAGTGTATTTTCACATGTATAACCTGCCCTGCAGATAACTGAAATCAGAAGCACAGGAGACAGACGAGAAAAATCAGAGGCAGAGAAGCTTTTGAGGGAGAAGGAGATTTAAATAAGACTCCTTTGCTCCCTCAGATATATTCATGGACATATAAGCTATGCAACTGCTGAATTACAAGGTTACCTGGCTTTTTCAGATGCTCTGTGGGTAGTAAAACTGACAGCTCTTTTATGATTTACAATTTTTCAGTTTTCTTACCTTTATGGTCTACTAAGTGGAGGTACTATTTTCCGTCATGCCATTCTGCCTGTCCTTTTAGCATACTTTTTGCTAAATGCACAAGGGTCCCTATGGATAATAAAGGTTTCAGAAGTTTTCAAGACTGACCGGTAGAACAGGACAAATCTCAGTTTTTCAAAAGAAAGAAGTGGCAACACAACTTTCTTCAATGGAGTCTGTATAAAATAGAGCCTTTAAAGATGTTTCATGGCATCAGAAACCATCTATATTTTGCTATTTGCATAGATGGAAGGAATGAGAAATATTTCCTGGCTTAGACTTCCAGCTGAACATGGCACTCCAATCTTTTTGTATATAGAAGACACATTTACATTTTTTTCCCGGTTTGTTCCTTCCTTTTTTTTTTCTTCTTCTTTTTTTAATATATATAAGTCTTTGGTCTATAAGCATATTGGTTCTATGTGCACATACACAATACTGTTGAACAGTAGGTTGCATAGAGTCTGTTACCCAAGAACCTCGCCTACTTTTGGCACTGCTGTCACATATTGCAGAAAAGTATCCTGCAAGAGTTGTATGATCCTTAACATCTTACATCAAACTTTGATCTAGAGACTGGAAGAAGTGTGTATATAATGTTAAAAAGTATGTTTATTTTGGGTGTTACTTTGTCTTCTTTGGGACACGGTTTGTAAATCTTGGATGAAAAAGGAGAGCAAAACTATTTTATAAACACCCCTAATTTTATTTCTAGAGGTGATGAAATACTGCTGAGCATTTGAAGTTTGCTGTGAATTATGTTAAGTGAATTTTGCTCAAATTTTCATGCATTTAAAATAAACTACTTCTATTAATATATGACATTCTGCCTTCTCTCTCTTCAGCCTACTAAGAAAGTGGCAATAAGAACGGTACCTAGACTGAACTGTGTCCAAGGAAGCAATGAACTTTCATGTACTGTTTTTTCCATTACACCCCTGCTCTCATCCAGCTGAACGTGCAAGAACAGTTTCAGGAGTGAGGTCTGGATTCACAATGGTGCACTTGAACAAACACCTTTCAACAATGAATCTCTGCAAAAAGCTAGAATCTGTAGAGGTCAAAAATTGCAAGGCAAAAAAAAAGTGAGACTGAGTTTATCCTAACTGTTGACATCAATGCTTTTGGGTATTTGCACAACTAATCAAGTCTACTTCTAATGCAATTAACCATTAAATTGAATTTTAAATTATACTAAAATAATATCCCACAATTACCACAGTTTTTCTCCCCCAAATTGCTAATTGATCACATTACCTACTATTTAAAATATCAATCCAGTGTTTTAAAAATTTATGTTGAAGGAACGGCCACTGTGATTTGATAGGCAATTTCAAAACCAGCACTTTAAAACACAAAGATAGCAAAAATATCTGAAGCAGATCTAGAATCTATAAAGCTATGTTCTATCTACTGTAAGTAACAAATCAAGCAACTATTACTTATAGCAGACTCAGCAAAAGCAACAGGGATGGACAGAAGAGATCTGAGCGCGATGCTCTCCACCACTGAGAATCCCAAGAGATAAAGTTTGAGAATGGACATTCCCTTTTGTACAGAAGTTCCTAAAAGAACACAAAATAAATAATACTTCAAAGACAGTACAAGTGAAAATACTGCTCCCATTGTGTCAGTTACATACACATACAGCATGCCTACGTATAAAGAATGGTGTGTTGTCTTCATTCACAAACAGGAAATATGGCAGTGCACTATCAGAATGCTTTGATACTCCTAATTTTTTCTGATGCTGAGATATATGAAGAAACTGCATTCACAACTTATAATTTACTTCCAGTAGCAAACAGTTCATTCTGTTCATGTCTCATGATTGAACTCAAGGATTAATGCTCCTCTGAGCAAGTGCCACCAGTAAGGTACCCGTTTGTCCCATTGGCACCACCGGTCCCATTAGTGGTGATAGTGCTGTGCGGGGTCTTTGAACGAGGTACTGTTTCTTCCTCATCTGAGCTTGACTCAATGTCACTTCGGTCATCCTTTGCTACCTGTAGAATTTGAAAAAGCAAACAGTAGGTGACTGTAAGGAAACAACTTTTTAGTTCAAGCCAGAATCAGAGAATTCAAACATTTTTCAATCTGAGCTTTGAAGACTATCTCAGCTCTGGCACACTTCTCTGCCTTTGCCTGCCTGTACACGCACATGCCACGTGCAAAGGCAGGGTGAGAACTTTGCACCGGTGCATTGAAGATAGCATGTCAAAGTGAGTGCTCGAAGCAAAGGGTAGTGCGCACACTAAAGGAACCTACAATCCAAGCTCCCAAATTCAACGTAGCCCCCCATCCCTCTGCCCTCCTACTACTTTATTTCCTGTGCTTCTCTTTGACCTGATAATACAAAATATTCAACCCAACTTCCTCCCCCCTCACCTCCCAACTTATTCTCTAGAGGGCACACGGCTCTAGGGAACAGTGCTATGGGCTGGCAGTAGGAGACAGTAGTACTGGCTAAAACATAACTCACCACACTAGGTAACTCTGGCTTCAGGCAAGTGGTGAGAACAGGGCTTGGAAACCGTGGACATAGTCCACTTCAGGAACCACAAATGTACTTGAGCAATTCAACTATCTGCCTCATCACGTTACTGGAAACCTATTTCAGAAACAGACTGACCTGAATTGCTAGGGATTTCCTGTTAATTTTCAGCTGACTGACTTCCTGCTGGTTTATACCCATTTACTACTGGGTGAATGCTGCTCCTGAGGTTAAGGAGTCTGTTCTCCTCCTTTGTAGAGCTCTTTGAAGGTCATAGAGGAAGATCACTAAGTTTGAGAGCTGAGTCCCTTCAGAATCCGTGAAGTGACTTTGCTTCACCCCATTCAGTCAGGTGCACTCAAAACAAGTAAAACCATGAGGAAGCCAACAAAAGGCAGGTTAAGGTGAGCAAACAAGGGCAACAGAAAAGAAAATCCTGCAAAGAAAAGGCCCCATCTGCCCTGTTTTTAAGGGGATGTTTTTCCCAGGGTGGTAACAATGGCCCTGCCAATGCGTAGGATTATAGGATAACTCAGGTCAGAAGAGACCTGAGTCTCTTCTATGATTCATAGGCTCTTCATAGATTCAGGAAATCTATGCCCAACCTCCTGCTCAATGTAGGGTCAGCTGTGGAGGCAAGGTCACACACGGCTCTACCGAGTCTGATCTTGAAAATCTGCAGAACTGGTAAGAATGCATCAGATGAAGTAAAAAAAAGCATCAACAAAAAGTGGTCTGAAGTCTAAGCTGCATGCAGCTTTAAAGATGCAGCCTTCCATGCCTGCTCCTAGCCCTGTTTGTATAGCTGAGCTTCCTAATTTGTTCAGAAGCTATCCATGCTGTGCTGGTTGCCCACATCAGGTGATTACAATTGACTTTACTATAGCAAATGGACATAAAGAGGGCAAAACACATGACAAGTCTTTTTCACAAAGAAATCAAAACAATTAAAGAACAGGGCCACTGCATGTAATTTTTTGCTTACAGGAATCCTCCCGTACTCCAGAAAGCCCTCATGACAATTCTGCTCTCCAGCCCTCACCTCAGAAACAGCCATTTGCCTTTGGGGCTCCCAATGTTGCTACCATCCTTGCAATATCCTAACACCTGAGTTACTCTATTTTGCTTGGGAACAGAGAAAAAAGAAACACGCAGTTCCCATACACCTCACCTCCTAATAGGTAAAGTTTTTTATGTCAATGTCTAGCAAGCATGCAATTCTGACATCCATGAAACTGGACTTCAGCTGAGGTCAGAAATTTGATTTCATACTTACACAGCTTCAATTAACAGGTTACTTCAGTCTCTTTTATATAAAAGACTGTATTAAAGCTGTTGAGGATACAGAAATACACTTAGAATTACACTATTGTCAGACAGAAGAGAATGGGCCCAGCACAGGGTACTAAGTGCCTGTGATCGATGTGAGGGCAAACCAGATGATTGAAAAATTCTGTGTCATCTTACATTCTCTTAATATATTAGATTTTCTGCCAATTCTTCTGAAGGGTCCTGCCCCGAAGCCAAACAATCAAAAGAAGATTCTATGCTGCAGCCACTTCTATTAAACATGTGATCCACTCTATTTTTAAAATGCAGCAACATACCAGGGTCTTTGCACTTAAAACCTGACATGAATGCAACACATCTTTCCATACTTAGTTCTCTTTGTTTCCCCAAAAGAACCCACTGGAGTAATTTCTACAGAAGGAGTGTAGAAAATATATATCTAGGTTTATAAAACTCCTAAGCATAACAGCAAGTAAGAAATAGATGATTGGGATTAGTTACTAATTTAATGATAATAAATTGCTTTATCAGCTGAGCTGTTCCAAAGGTGGATTCTAATAATACAAAAAAACTCCAGTAATTAAGAATGAAGATCTACTGTAAGATATCTGTAATGTGTTGTGAAAACACTGCTTATTTTACTGCAGAAATGGAAGGAACAGGGTTGCAAGTGAAGAAGTAAGTTAAGATCTGAAGGAATAAGAATCCTCCATGTATGTCATACATATGCATCTTTAACCTGGTCACTACTTTATTGCAAGTGTCTAACTCTGCTCTCGTACAACCCAAATTTTCTCCTGTGCAATTGTTTGAACTACCAGGCAGAGGACTTACGCTCTCAAGAATGTTTCCGAAATGGTGACAGAGCAGCTGCTTATGCTGCTGATAAATATGTGTAAAAAAGGCTGTAACTTAATAGTACCCAGATACTACAGATAGAAGTGTGTTTGAATGGTATTAGGCAATGCGTAGGCATTAAAAGCCATTTTTACTTTCATTTAAATAAATAAACATAAACAATGGATAAAAATACCAAGCAGAAACTGCAAATTAAAAAAAACAAACATCAAACAACACAAAACCCAGTATTGCACAGAATAAATCTTTTGCATAGTAAATTTAAAGAAACTTACATGCAAGGGGTTCCACTTCCCAGCCTTCCAGCACAGCACAAGGGAAAGGATAAACAAGCAGAGTAAGAAAGAGTAGGAAGCACTCTTTGAAGTCACTGGTGTAATTCAGACAGGACAGCTAAGGTTAATAATTGCTAAAAGCAGAGGAGACTCAAGTGTGGCTTCTAGGCAAAATACAGTTCACGAATGCACTGTCTTTCATATAGAGTGAGTTGCAGATTCTGTGCTCTCCAGTACATTCATAGAAGGCAGTTTTCTGCAGAAAAATCCCATTCACTTTGGGGGTGGTCACATATCTAAAAAATCTACTCATGCGCTCTACTCTTTAACGGCAAAATACTTGTACATTATCTGTAAGGGTTAGTTCAATCATCTAAATGCGAGTGCTGTATCTGCACAGCAAATGTAATGGGACTAGCATTTCTGTGAGTTACACCTTCCTGTCAAATATAACTATGGCAGCAAGACACTAAATTTTATCCCAAATGGTCTTGCTGTGGGAATCCTAGAAAGTACAGAGCTCTTCACGGAACCTCATTAATACCAAAACCCAAAAGAGGCTGTGATTTGTAACTTTGCCACTAGCAAAGGCAGCAGAATTTCAATTTGTATTACTATTACTACCACTACCAGCTGGGAAATGAACATTTAGCTAACAACTACTATAAAGAAGAAAAACAGAACTGGCAGCTCCAAGAAAGCAGTTTGCTTGGTGGTTTTTTTTTAATCCAATTTCCCTAATGTAGTTTGGTTCAGTGTACCAGATTATAAAAGAGAAGTGCAGAAGCACATATAAATACAATCACTGTAAAAAGCACATTAACTTATCTGACATTTGTTAGAAGGAGTGAAAAAAAGTTTCCATGAAAGGAGAGTTTACATGTGTCTTCAGTAAAGAGTCATGGATTAGCAAGAAAAAGTAACCAACAAGTCAGTGACCCTGTATTGATATTGAAAAAGTTAAATACCTAAACATGAAACAAGAACCGTGCTGTCTTACCTTGCCCTTTGAAATAGCTTTGTAGGCTGCCTTTATGATTAGGTAAGACCAAAACCAGTGCAGAACTTGAAGAATCACAAGCAGCACATTGAAGACCCACAAGGCAGGAAAATTGCCCAGAGCTTCATATAGTTCAAACAGTGTTGTGTTTAATATCCTAGAAGAGAAAGGGACAGAGAAGTATTAACACTTTCCTTAAGCCAACAATGTAAAAGAAGCCTTTTTTAAATGAAAATGACAAGTACTTGGTTAGATGGAATCCACGCAGATAGTTGGTTCTCACGAGTAACAGTGACTGGGACTGAATCACACAGGTGTCTCCAGAGAGACACCAGACATAAAAATGTTGCTTTTAGTGTTTAACTTCATTTTGCAAACATCACATATAGAAAACAAAGATCCTCAGTGTATATTTCTTCTCTTCTTTTACAAAGCTGGCAGGTGTTGGTTGTCTCAAATAACTCCTTCCTTGATTAATAACCAAGATTACTTTATTCCATTTTTTTTAAATGAAGCTTTTCCATCTCAACTGTCTCCAGTAGGGGTTTGGTGCACCCATATTAGCACAGGGTAAAAGCATGTATGAGGACCAATATAGTACAGGGCAACCCACACGCAGTCCATGTTGTTCAAATCACGTTGCCAGGCTGTGACGGTGAACGTCAGACAGACAAAGCTGTACCAACAGCCAGGCAACACTCCCTAAGTACTCCCATCTGAAGCCCTCTCTCCCAAACCCAATCTCAAAGCTGATGGGTTTGTTTCAGTGTAGACAGCTATGGATGTCTTTGCCCTCTTGTATCAGCAACATGACTGATATGCTATGTGGAATTGAAAACAGTCTGAGACCATTCCATTAAAGTGAGATTTCAGCAGCATGTGAAACAATGGCACATGCGTGGCAGGATTCAGCTTCTTACAGGGTTTTCTAAGAATGAGGGGGGCTTTGGCTATGTTGAGTGCCCCAACATAAAGTCTTATTTAGTGGAAACCTCAGCACCAACAAGAATCCAAAGTCAAAATAATCAACCAGTCAAGGGGCTTAACCCTGGGTCTTGAACACCCTGGGTGCCTGCACTAACCACTAAAGTACCTCTGGTGGCCACTTTTTGCACAAAATCCAATTTGCATACAATTATGTACAAGCAAGGGTGAGGTTTAGCAGCTACATAAAGGACAGGTGGACAATGGGGATACTTCGGGGCCGCAAGGGGTGGGAGACCTTACTGTGGCCTTTCAATACTTAAAGGGGGCTTTTAAGAAAGATCGGGACTGACTTTTTTGTAGGACCTGTTGTGATAGCGCAAAGGGTAATTGTTTTAAACTAAAAGAGGGTAGATTTAGACTAGATATAAGGAAGAAATTTTTTACGATGAGGGTAGTGAAACACTGGAACAGGTTGCCCAGAGAGGTGGCAGACACTCCACCCCTGGAAACATTCAAGGTCAGGCTGAATCAGAGCAACCTAATCTATTTGAAGTATCCCTGCTCATTGCAAGGGAGGTTGCAGTAGATGACCCTTAAAGGTTCCTTCCAACCCAAACCATTCCATGGTTCTGTGAAATTTGGGCAGTTCTAGGCATTTGAACCAAGTTTTTTAGAATCAACATTGCAGATGCAGGCAGTAACAGTGATGTTACAATATGACTTCTGAAGCTTTGTGAATATAGCAGTAATTATTTTGCCCAAATACTCTGCCATAGCGGATGTTTTCAAGCTGGACCTCAGCAATCAGCCTGAGAGCAAAGAGTGGACAACAGCCAGTAGAAACAATGGCATTTTTGGAAACAAATAATGATCTATGAATGCCTGTTAATTAGGGGGAGAAAAAGAAGGCAATACAAGTATTTGTCAACCTCCACCCATTTTCCCTGCCGGTGTAGAAAATGCATTAAAAAGTCCATTGGCTGTATGTTCCTTTCTTTACATTAACTATCAGCCGGTAGCCACTAGATGGCACGTTCGATCAAGCAAGCGACTGCGCAGCAGCTCTTGGGCTGCACCAGCTCCGTCTGAAAGCAGAGGTAACCAGGTACTGCACGGCCTTCAGAACAGCACTCTCGTTTGAAGATACTGGGCTCAGCTTTTTAATAAGCAATCACATCTGCCACAATCCTTTCCAACAACATAAAGATCAGCTCAAGTAGTACTAATAAGAAGCATGTACAGACAGCAAACGCAGAATATGACATTCAGTGGTAATTATTTATGTGTATAAACAGCACTGGTCAAAAATCAACTAGTGATTTCCAATACACTGGCCTTAATACTGTAGGGCATTTAATAATAAATATTCTACCTTTTCATTTTGACTTCTTACACTAAACTACATGTTTGCTTCATAATGTACTAAGAAATTGATGTTTTATAACCTTACTATACAGCTGTGGTTTTACACTGTCTTCTGTTTATGGAGAAAAAATTTTTTAATCAGAATTTTTTATCAGAAAAAGAAACTGTTTTCAACCCCCCGTCATATTATCGCTTCCGTCAGCTAAAACTTTTCAGTCGCAGCTTTGTGTAATTTGTTCTGCCAATGGTAGCTCTACACAGCACAGCAATACCCCACTTTATAATTCAAGGGGATGCTCTCATGCATATCAAAACACAGCTGTAGTCAGCACTGTTTTACTTCACCAGTACTTATTTCAGTTCTAACCATTATATCAACTTCAAACTTGATATCAACAACTCCTGTATGTAAAGTTACCACTGTTTACATCCAACTATCTTCTTTCATGTCTAAAATTTTAGATGCTCCAAAATTGTAAATGCAGTTTCTACAGGTTTCTGTTTATATTTTCATTCACTGGACCAAATTAAGCTCTGGAGACTTCCATAGGAGTCAAGTCAAAAAAGCAGTATTAGAGATGCAGATGGTCCATTCTTGCCAAAGTCGAAATACCAGGAAGAGAGGAGGACCTAAAAGAGTGCTTCTGGTTCCAAAAGCAGTTTCACCGTGCAAATGACTCATTTACTGTGTAGTACGTATGGGAAATAAGCCTTCACTGAAAAAGCAGACCTCTTTCTAACGTGCTCATGTCTTGCAAACTAAGGACAGGACCAGAACTCTCCAATAAAGCTGCATAAAGGATTTCACTTAACTGCTCAGCCATGCTAAGAGAGTCAGTGACTGGAGGTGCAGGCTAGGTGTGCAGATGGAGCTAAGGCTACGTCTAAGCACATAGGGCTGAGCAGAAGCTGAATGAGAAATACAGAAAACTACAGGAAAAAAATGGAGGAAAGCAACTTTTTGTCTTAGAATAAATCAATTATTTCATGGCAAAAGACTGAAATGGGAAGAAAAATCATAAGGTTAGTGGGCAGAATACAGAGGGAAATTCTACTTGTAGAGACTGAGGAAGCGAGGGAGGGAGGGAGGGCAGAAAGGTTAGACAACTTTCCACCAACTCCACTGCTGAAAGGATTCAATGGAAGCATTTTAACCAACTACACAAATATCAGGGACTGGAAAAAGCAGCATGAGAATGGATTACACAAAGGAGAAACTGCCTATGGGATGTATATGCAAATAAATCTTAGGTTCAAATACTCAAAAAGACATGAGGCATTTAATCTGCAAATATGCTTGCTGGAATTTTTTAAAGCTCTCCAGTGGTTAAATCCCAGCTTTTCATAATGAATCATGGAAACTTTCATTCTTGGCTATCTGACTTGAAACAGCTGGATTTGATCTCACAGGGAGAAATTACTTTAAGCTGCAAGTGCTCTACCTCTCTGAAAACTTTGGTCAGCATTTCTCACGTCTCTGCAATTTGAAACAAAATGTTAGCTTCTGCTTTTGAAAATAGGTTCTGGACTGTAGCAATTTACCTGAGGCCCCGAAAGATTTTGGTAGCTGGACAAAATGATACAATCTCATTGTGCACCTGGCTGCGTGAAGCTCTCAGCTTAGCATTTTGAATTATGTAGTGTGGCTGATGAAGGCAAATGAAAACAAATTCACCACTTAAGATCCAATCTACTCTTACAGAAATCTGTGGCAGACTTTCAGGAACGCTGCCACAATATCTGAGCCACTGGGAGAGGTAATTCTGTACTTACTGTACTACCGCTCTAATTGAACACTCAGAATACAACTAACACATTTTCAACAACTACTAAACAATCAGCTGCATCACATCAACAGTAACACAGGTTTTTCCTCTACCATCTAACTCTTCATCTAGCAAGTTAAGCAGCACTTGGGAGGCTATCGGCAACAGGCCCATACACTGACTCAGATTAAGATTACTCTCTCCCCCCTCAACTTAGTGGGCACAAGTCCAGGCTGTTGGATAGCAATTACTAATTCTTGGCAAGCTAATCGCTTGTCTTGCACCAGGGATGGAATGAGAAAAGGGAGATGAAGGACAAGAGATAAAGAAAGGGATGGGTGGAAGAGTAAAATGCTTATTTACAGTTGTCTGAGCATGATGGGTTGACCCTGGCTGGATACCAGGTGCCCCCCAAAGCCACTCAATCACTCCCTCTCATCACGGGCAAAACAGATTCAACTTGGGGAAATTAGTTTAATTTATTACCATTCAAATCAGAGTAGGATAATGAGAAATAAAAACTAAATCTTAAAACACCTTCCTCCCACCCCTTTCTTCCTCCTGGGCTCAACTATACTCTTGAATTTTCTACCTGCTCCCCCCGAGGGGTGCAGGGAGATGGGGAATGGGCGTTGTGGTCAGTTCATCACACGTCTCTGCCGCTCCCTCCTGCTCAGAGGGAGGACTTCTCACACTTCCCCTGCTACAACGCAGGCTTCCCACGGGGTCACAGCCTCCTTCAGGGCCATCCACCTGCCTCACCATGGTCTTCTCCATGGGCTTGCAGAGGAATGTCTGCTCAGGCACCTGGAGCACCTCTCCCTCTCCTTCACTGACCTGGGTGTCTGCAGAGTTGGTTCACATATTCTCACTCCTCTCTCAGGCTGCAGTTTCCCCCCCTTCTTAACTCTGTTATCCCAGAGGCGCTACCACTGTCACTGATGGACTTGGACTTGGCCAGCAGCAGGTTTGTCTTGGAGCCGGCTGGCATTGGCTCTGTTGGACATGGGGGAAGCTTCTAGCATCTTCTCACAGGAGCCACCCCAGTAGTTCCCCTGCTACCAAAACCTTGCCACACAAACCCAATACACTGAGAATT